ATATATATATATATATAGTTGGCGGCATCCGGTTTCGGATCTACCTGTCACAGTGGCCAGCCACAGCACGCCTGCGCCTTCAGAGGCACCATGGATGGCTTGCGGTGTACCACCCACAGCTCCAACCACACACCCCATATCCAGTGTAAAACCGAAGGAATAAGACCAGGAGGCATATGGATGGGAACCACATTTCATCAACGGAGCCGGCCCACACTCCTTCACAGGCAAACACAAGCACGCTGTATTTGGGGAATCAAGCGCACACACAATGCGGTGGTTGGAACGTAGTCCGCTCCACACTGAGTGCTTGGAACCACTCTTCGAGCCTAACACGGCCACACAGACCGTGCAACCCGTCCTCTACGGTAACGACCAAGTGTCTCCTAGAGCCAGTATGGACGACGTAGTGAGTAATACACGGGTAGGCACCTTGTCAACATGCACATCAAGCGCAGTCACACCGGGGATACCAAGCAACAGCCAATCACTAGACAGAAAGATATCGAATAAAATAAATCGAGTAATGCATAAGGAAACGGTGACATAAATCTTGAATTAATGAGCATATGAAATAAGTTGTTTACAAACGAATCCGAGATAAGTTTTCTCAAGGTCTGAAAGTATATTTTACGGAAATGACACAAACACGAATATGTTATCGAAATTAACTACAAGTGGCTTAAGCGACTTGTCCAAGCTTATAGAAGAGAGTATGGGTAGGCATTTATATGATAAAGAAAAGCAGTAGGACAAAATTGAAAACTGAAATAAAGTGACATAGCATTCAAGCACGCAGTTAGTAAATCGAATGCAGTGTACCTACAAACGCTGCGCCGGTTCTGCCTACGTTCTCTGCAGGACCCGTCGTCGCTTCGCTAGTGGTCCCGAGTGGCCTCGCGCATGGCTCACTAGGCCTGCCTGACTCAGGCACTCGCGACCGCTTGTGCTACAGCTCAATGTACTCGATGTCGATGGAGTACAACCCATCGGTGTTTGCCGCTTTCGTAATTGCCGCTTCTTCTCTGCATGTATGAGGTCTTTTTCCGCACTTCAGCAACTGCCTTCGTGATCAGATAGCGCCATGCACGCCGATCAACCGCCTTCGATTCCCATGATCTGCAATCAAGATTAGAACCTGTGACGCTCACTTTAATCATGTCCTGGTAATGTAACTTTAGTTTCCCCACATGCCGTTTCCCAATACTCAGCTGATCATATAATAGCTGCTTCGGTATGCGCGTCGAATCCATACGGCTCACATGACCGAGCCACCTCAGGTGTCTCAGTAAAAGTATGCAGTCCACTGCATACATCCCACTTCGGCGCAACACTTCCGTGTCTACAACTCTGTGGCCCCAACCGATGCGCAAAATCCGTCGCAAACATTGCTGATGGAACCGCTCGAGATATCGCACATCCCGCCGGTACATCGTCCACGTTTCACTGCCGTATAGAAGAACGGACAGCACCATGGATTTGTATACCATCAGCATTGTGCCAGTGCTAAGCTGATGGTTGTTCCACACTCGGTACTCAAGCTTCCCGAGTGTCGCTGCTGCCTTCGACACGCGAATACGCAACTCAACGTGTAGCTGCTGATCAGTCGACATCACACTCCCAAGGTAGCTGAAACGGGAGGCCGTTTCCAATACTTCAGCACCAATGCTGATTCGCGGCAATATTAAAGATTGCACCTCCGGTGAAGGCTGAAAGAGACAGACAGTTTTGCTTGTGTTGATGGTGAGCCCAAATATAGCCGCTGTCGAAGCCAGAGCACTAGTCATGTGCTGCAACTCTTTCGCGCTGTGTGAAAACAACGCACAGTCGTCAGCAAACAGCAACCTACGGATAGTCGTCTCACAGACTAGAGTTCTCGCACCGAAACGACGGACATTCAAAAACCCATCACCAATGCGCTGCTCCACACGAACACAGTAAGCACAAGCGGCATCAAAAGCACAGGACAACATTGCATGAAGATATATATTAAACAGGGCAGGAGCTAAGACACAGCCTTGCTTCACACCAGAGACAACTGCAAAGTCATCCGAGGTCTCTCCACTCAGCTGCACCCTCGTTCGCACACCACTGGGCAGACATTCAATTAAACTTACAAACTTACGCGGGCAACCAAACTTACCCAACACCAGCCACAATGCCTCGCGGTTCACCGTATCAAATGCCTTGGTGAAATCAACAAAAAGCGAGTACAATGGCTGGTGTGGTTTTCTGCACTTCTCTTGCAACTGACGAGCCGCAAACACCATATTTATAGTGCTGCGACCCGGACGGAATCCACACTGCTCTTCCGCCACGTTAGGTTCCACAACCTGACTGACGAGGCGATTGAGCAGGATTCGGGCAATCACCTTGCCCACACAACTCAGCAAGTTGATGCCACGATAATTCGTGCAACATTGCTTGCTACCTTTGCCCTTGGTACAGTGGTAGCACAAGGGCATCCTTTATCTCAGCGGGCACCCCTCAATCCACAGGAGTTGTACCAAGTGTTGCAGCGCAGTCACAAACGCGGGTCCACCTTATTTCAATACTTCAGGCGGGATCCCGTCGGCTCCGGCACACTTGCCGTTTCGCAGCTGAGCAAGTGCTCTCTGCGTCTCATCCAGTGTCGGCGTATCCGCCAGATCCGCCTTCACATCGTGCTGCTTCAGGCAGTTCAGTGTAGGCCAGTCGATCTCTGAACGGTTATGCAAGAGACAGTCACAGTGTTTCCGCCAGATCTGCATTATTTCTGCAGTCTGTCTGCAGGTAGCGCCTGAATTACCATCGATCAGTGTCCTCAGCGGCTCCAATCTCCGTCCATGCACCGCCTTCATGGAGTCAAAGAATTCCTTGTGTTGACGGCGTTCGGCTTAGCATTCCATCTGCTTCGCCTTCTCCGTCCACTATGCATTTTTTATGCGACGAAACTCTCGGGTCAGTCGCCGTCGATTTCCGCGAAACTTACTCTTCTTCTTCTTCAAGTCACTGGGGTCTGCAACATGTGCAGCAAATGCTGCATTCTTCTCCGACACCAATCGTCGCATTGTTCTTATCAAACCAATCAGGCCGCTTACAGTTTGCGCGCCCGATGGTCGCCTCGGCAGCAGCTGTCACCTGGTCGCGAATGTGGTGCCACAGGTCGCCCACTGTGGCTATGCCTTTCACATCACACAGGCGTGCAGACATCTGCTTCTCCAGTTCAGTACGTTTCTTCACAGTACCGAGGGAGAGAATGTTAGATTTACGCCGATTCACGGTGGGAGTGCAATACATAGATTTACGAAAATATATGTACAGTTTGGTGCGCACCAATTTGTGATCGGTGCCACACTCAGCTCCACGCAGTACACGTGTCATGCGCACTTCACTCATATCACGCTGACGTACGATGACATAGTCGAGCAGGTGAGCGTGGCTACTCCGTGAGTGTGTCCAACTTGCTATATCACTCACACTAAGTGCAAACCGAGTGTTTGTGATCGTCAGGCCGTGAGTGGCACACAGTGAGAGCAGCCTGTCACCGTTCGCATTCGCTGAACCAATCCCATGCGAACCGAGAACATCTGCCCACACCGATTCATCACGCCCAACTCGCGCGTTGAAATCACCCAGCAGAAATAGTCAGTCGCTCCTCGGCACAGACCGTCTCACAGAGGATAGCTGAGTGTAGAATTGATCACGCGTGTCATCGGGATAACATATGGTCGGACCGTAAGTGCTTATAGATGTAGCAAACTTACCTCTTCCGAGTCGTACGCGAACAGTCATCAGTCGCGCGCTGATGCCCGTTGGTTTACCCACCAGCTGGCTATGGAGGCGATCGGATATTGCAAATCCGACCCCATGAGCACGTGGTGCTGAGGCGGCGTTGCCCAGCCAGTAGAATGTGTAGCCAGCACCTACTTCATGAAAGTTACCTTGTTTAGCGAGCCGAATTTCACTGAGCGCCGCAATATCGATGTGGTAGCGCGCCAGCTCCATCGCGACCAGTGCAGTGGGTCGCTCGGGGCGCTCGCTGGAGTTACGGTCCAGTAGTGTGCGCACGTTCCAGCACCCGATGCTGAGTGCTTTGCGCGCAGGCATACCATTGCTTTGGTGCACAGTCGCACGCGAGATGGTCGTTGTGCTTCGGGGTGGGGGGGGGGGGAATCCACCCGGAGACTTTGGCTCAAAAACCTGGCACACAAGGCAGTGGGGAGCAGATCCAGCTAGGGAATGTGATTGCAGAGACAGATTGGGATCTGCTTGACGGCCGTCACACGCAGACTTTCAGGTACTGGAACGATTCATATATGTTTTGCGACCGTAATTGGATACGCACCTGCGACCACGGCCAGACGCCGGTGGGTTTTGGCGGGTTTGCACCAATTTGACCAGGGGCTGCCTGGCTTGAGGCGGGTAGTAGCCAACCATCGAACACCCGGAGGTGACCTCACACCGTCAGAGACAATGTGTGGCGCTCGTGCTCTACACCAATCGAGCTGTGAGCTTATAACCCGTAGATCTGTTGTCTTCCATGCCTAGGTTCTACGGGAAGAGGGCCATCGACCACTTCCTAACCTCTGAAGAGGATGGACTAGCATACTGCCATGGCGCCCACACCTGACAGGAGAACGACTCGGGTCCTCAGCCAAAGCCTTCGATTAAATGTACACCCGAAAGGCAGCGGGTCTGGCACATGGCCAGTTCACTGACTCATGCGGATTGGTGTCCTGGATGTTAGCAGGGAGAAACGCGAAACCCAACTCCCATGCAGTGGTCACCACGAGGAGGCGTCTGTTACGGAGAGAGACTAGCATTCAAGCCGAGAAAGTGCATCGATCTGCAATTAGAGATCGAACTCGATTATAGATCAAAATGAGAATTGCTGCAGACTCAGAGGCAAGTTGGATCACGAACCTGAACCATTTGAGTTGTGTTAAGTAACGCCAATTAGCATCTTTAATATTGTTGTTTAAGTATTTGCTCACAACCTATTTATTGGACCGTGCTCTCATGCAATAAGTCTCTCTCTGTCTACCGAACCTTGGTCTTCTGCATTCCGTTGGTGGGCTGGGCGCGTGGCTGAGCAGTCAGACAGTGCGGTCTCAAGGGGCAGCTGGCAGCAGTACCACAGTCGTCAGTGGCATACAGCAGAGGTAAAAAAAGGAAGAAGAGCGTTTACAACAGTGGCGACGGAGGTGTTGAACAATCATGGCCATTTCATTCGAGCAGATGCAGTCCCTACTTCAGCAGCGGCAGCTTCAGTTTGAAAAATCACAGCGGCAGTTAATTCAGTTGTTATCAGAAAAACTCAACATTCAAGTGGAATGGGAACCGGAACCGAGGTTAACATCCCAGGAAATTGTATCTGAATATCACAAGCTGCTCAGTTTGAATCATGACCCAGAAATGATTGCAACTTCAGATCACAGTGTGGAACCCCAGCCCTGCCATACAGTCATTTGTGGCCAAAATGTGAATGGAAATGTGCCGAACCGGAAGCTTCCGACTGCATTATGGAACGGTGATGGGAGACATTCTGTGAGAAATTGCGCCCACACAAATCATCATTGTCAAAAAGCGCACCAATTCAGATGCGCGTATACTCCAAGGTTACAAGCCAGTTACAAATTCAAAAGAAACAGGTATCGCGGCACAGTGAGAGAGACGGCTTTTGCAGTATTTCGTACACACTTTTCAGGGAAGAGGAAATACCCCACAGTGAAACGCAAGAATGTTCCGATATCGCTGCTGCCAGAAACGTTGTATGCTCCCAAGAGCCTTTCTCGTGGGACGCGGGCAATACTTGGCACATCGTCAGTCAAACCCACAATTCTAACGGTTCAAAAGATTTCAGAGGAACCTCTGCAGCTGAAAGGAAGAATCGCCTGTGAACGCAGACTCAATGATTTGCTACACTATGGAAAAATCTACCCAGTATACTGTGCCAAAGTTAAGCTGCACGGAACCAACCGGATTACGAGGTTAGATTTGCTCAAAGAATCGATGACTCATGTGAGTTCGGTAACGACTGTTACTCTCTGCAATATTGGTCGTACCTATTTTAAATTCTTATGTCTGTACCAGCTACCAGTACGGGCGACATTGATGTCTTGGCCGAAGCCCGAACCACCATGGTCACAGATCCACGTGGACCTAGGTGGATTCCCAAGTCGGAAGAGCTGTGATTTTCAGGTAACCCAATTTTTAAGAGAGGGAGGTGTTACGGAGAGAGACTAGCATTCAAGCCGAGAAAGTGCATCGATCTGCAATTAGAGATCGAACTCGATTATAGATCAAAATGAGAATTGCTGCAGACTCAGAGGCAAGTTGGATCACGAACCTGAACCATTTGAGTTGTGTTAAGTAACGCCAATTAGCATCTTTAATATTGTTGTTTAAGTATTTGCTCACAACCTATTTATTGGACCGTGCTCTCATGCAATAAGTCTCTCTCTGTCTACCGAACCTTGGTCTTCTGCATTCCGTTGGTGGGCTGGGCGCGTGGCTGAGCAGTCAGACAGTGCGGTCTCAAGGGGCAGCTGGCAGCAGTACCACAGTCGTCAGTGGCATACAGCAGAGGTAAAAAAAGGAAGAAGCGCGTTACAACAGCGTCCAGGACTTGAGCCAATGGCGCAACAGTAGCAGCAGTTGGTAGATCATCTGTCAGGATCTAGCCACAATCAGCCTCAGCGCACCATAGGCTCTCCCGCGATATATATATATATATATATATATAGAGAGAGAGAGAGAGAGAGAGAGAGAGACAGCGGGAGAGAGGGAGACAGAAAGAGTTTGATGAATAGTCGTTAAGTCAAAAACACCTTCCATCGCAATGAGGCTGGATCGTACCGTGGTGCAATGGTTTGCGTACCACAGTGATCCATTGAGCTATGCTGGGTGGTGCTTTTTGCATCAACAGAGCCACTCATACCAGATTGGTCAATGGTTAGATAGCAGACAAAATCACTCACCTGGCACACTAGTTTGGGGTTTAGAAACAGGGTAGCTCCCCATTCCTTAAAACGGACTCCTTGTAGCCCAACGCCAAACCCGCGGCCTTGCGGTCAGGTTTTTGAAGCAAAACCTGTTCGTCTGTCTAGGCCTGGGCAACCTGACAGTATCATACCCACGCAATACAATGAATCTCACTTCAAACAAATTTCTGATGCTCTGGTTACCGCAGAGATGCCCGCTGTCACCTTTCCTCTTCAACTTCGCTGTTGACGAAGTCATGGAAATCGCGTTTACAGGACACGACTTAGAAGGTGTGGAGCTACTCCCAGGAGAACGACTTCTTGATTTAGAGTATGCTGATGATATTGCCCTGATCTGTGACAGCTCACAAACGTGCCAAGCGGCACTGGACAGATTAGCACTAGCTGTCCGTCACTTCGGGCTTTGCTTCGCACCCTCGAAGTGCAAAGCGTTTCTCCAAGATTGGTCTGGACCGCCTCCTACGCTCACCCTTGGTGGGGATCAGCTAGAAGTCGTTCAAAAATTCAACTACCTGGGAAGTTGTATCAGCGCCCGTGGGATTGAAGATGAAATCACGAATCGTATAGCAAAAGCTGAAGGCGCTTTTGCTAACCTTCGCCACTTATGGCGCCGGCGCGACATCACTCTCACCCTGAAGGGTAGAGTGTACAATGCAGCAGTACGTTCGACCCTACTGTACGGTTGTGAAACCTGGCCGCTTAAAGCAGCGGACCTGAAGAGGCTAGTTACGTTCGACCACCGTGCCTTCGTAATTTAGCTCACATCTGGTGGGAACACCGCGTGAGCAACGAGCGTGTTCGACGCCTAGTTTATGGCACGGGAAAAGGAAATGAACCGCTCAGCACCGTTATTTCACGCATCAGGCTCCGATGGCTGGGCCACGTGTTACGCATGCCAGCCCACCGACTTCCGCGACGTGTGTTGTTTGCGCGCCGGGGGTGTGGATGGAAGAAGAGGAGGGGTGGCCAAGCGATGACTTGGTCCAGAGGAATGAAGGCCCTCACTTCTCAGCTGGCCTCGGTTGGAGCGTCTCGGCTCCCTGGTTGGGGTCCAAAGGACGATGAACACGTTTGGTTGGACACACTTGCTGATATGGCTAGGAGCCGACCTCAGTGGCGTTCGTGCTGTGAGTTTCTTTGTCCCACCCCATCCCTCTTAGCCTCCCCCTCCAACCACGATCTCATTACTTAGCTTTGTATAATCTTGCATAATATTTTTTTCTTTTATGTGCACAGCAGCCGGCTGGTAGCTTACCGGAACGATGCCCATCCGTTACCGGTAGCTCAGCCAGCTTGCACCAGTTGTTTTTTCTCTCCTTTTTTCTCTTTGTATTGCGGCACAGTAGCTGAGGTGTTCCCCACCTCTAGCTAACGTGTATGATGATGACGATGATGATGGTTACCGCAGAGGATAATCAACGGTGCCCTATCTTCTCCATAGAGCAGGGTGGATAAGGGTTTGGATGCTACTGCTCAAGCCTTCCCGTCTTCCTATTCTCCCTCTTACGATTTTTCACTCTCATCGTCCCGTTCCAGCTTCCCTTTTATACCCCTGTTTTGAAGCCCCAACTCTCGGCCCTCCCACACCTTGCTTCAATAGTCGCTTGTCTGTCAGGTAAAACTCACACGTGAACAGGAAGCTTCATTCCTGCCCTGTCAACAGCCCACTGTAAAAACAAGCGATCCATTCCAGTTCATCGGCTTCCATTTGGAGCCCTTGATCCTCCTTCAGATTGACATGCTTCAATGTTCGCACATTTCTTCAGATCTGTCAACAGGCAGCACTTGCCCGAACATTAGAGACCCTCTCGATCGATATCTGCTACTTCTCAGAGACCCGCCTGCAAGACTCGAGCTCTGTGCTCACCCTGCGATCCCCTTCAGGTGACATTAGCAGCACTTTCTCATTGCGCCTATCCGGTGACGATGCAGCTTCGAGCACCGGCCAAGCCGCTGTTGGTATTGCCCTGAGTTCCCGGGCTGAAGCTACTCTGGTTGATTGGATTCCAATCAGTTGCCGGACGTGTGCGGTCCGATTGGCTGGCTCGTTCAAACTTTCGAAGTCGCGTGTGACTAACAGGTGTCTATTCGTTATCGCTGCCTATGCACCGACAAACTGTAGCGATGACTCGGTAAAAGACAACCTCTATCGTCAGCTGAATGAGCTGCTTAGCCACAGACGAAGTTCGGACACTGTAGTGCTGACTGGGGATCTGAACGTTGTGCGAGGCGTGACACCGATTTCGCTAGAACATTCGCGAATATAACACCACTGTTCCTTATCAAGGGTTGTTGCTACATGCTCACATGGTGGGCTAGTTTCAGGAACGCCGTGGACAAGAATAGTTCTAGGTAAAGTTTACTTCCAGTGGCCTGCGAATCTGCGGTTAGTTCGATAATGCTCGCCCCCTAAGGGATGTTTGGAAAGACAGATTGAGCGGTCTTCATTTCTAATTTTACCCATCTACAAAGGAACTAATTCTATTTTGGTAATGATATTTGGCATAATGCGCAGATTTCGTGGCTCCCCGTAACGCTTAGAGGTGGCGTACTGCGTGATTAGCATTAACATGCAGGTTCAAACACGGTGCTGAATAGGTCTCTGATGACTTCACACTAATTGTGATCGTCCAACAACCTGACTCTAATTCTGGGACATCGGAGCACAGTACGCTGGTTACATGTTGTTGTTTCTTAGCATTTTTCCACATGTCACAGGTAGTGATTGACATACTCGATGATATACAACAGAAAAACGGTGGTGCTTGAACAAGAAGAATTCCGATTCGTTCCTCAATTTCCGATCCAGTCTGAGATGCTGCTGGTGTTAAACGTCGGATCTTCTTATAAGCGACCGTAGACGAATTTCCTCATACCGGCATTCCATTTAGCTATGCACTCAGTTGAGAGATTAGATAGAGTTTTTCGTATGGTAACTCCGATCGAACTGAGGGCTGCATTAGTGGAATGCGACTCATTCGTAATATTGGAACTGGAATATTTTCTGGGCTATTGGTATACGTTTGCTTACGGTGTTACAAACCGTTCGCCTCAGGCCTGGAGCATTGTTTATTGTGTTAGCCTAGGTTGCCAAACCTGTTAGGCTTATCACAACTGCGGCGATTTTGCTGGTCATGGTTTTCTCAAACATGACTATTAGTTGGTCGTACCTCTGAGATTATAAGAAGACGCTTTTTATCTGTGGAATAGACGTGCATTGTAAACTGAACCAGACAGAATGTGGTTCACTGTTTAACCATATGACTTAGCTATATTTCACGATGAGGTATTTCCCATGGGAAAGTTTACCTCAGGTGGAACATGGAATACCCACTTTGACGAGTTTGGCACTTGCTTCACATGTAAACCATAAACCTGCGACGCGCCAGATGTCGCGTTGGCCAAACGAAAGTTATTCCCCATTAGACTGACGCACCATTGATGAGCAGCAGTTGTTTTCATATTCCCGAACTTGACGGCAAATCACATGGTTCACTTCGCTCTTACTTGACTGTAAACCTCCCCGTCTAATGTGCCGGTCAAATGCGTCAGCGTACTTGGGAAACAGACTGCCCAACGGTTTGTTAGCGGAGTCTCGTGGCCGGAACCAATGAATCGTCCCAACGCGGACTTGTTGTGCTACTGATGGGGATTCACTGCGGAGCAACTAAACTACGCAGTAGATGCTCTACACAAGGTTGAACTTGGACGGGGGAGCAGTTGTTCGAACGCTGTCGAAATGCTCAGTCGAAGGAGACAAAAATGTGTATCTGACGGTTGAAAATATGCACCTATTTGAGCATGGATATCGATGAAACACTACACGGAATTTATAATTTAGCGTAAATTTAGTATGCACTGGTAGTGTTCTCGAGACTAGGACAACATTATACAAATGATATAAAAGTAAAACGAATAAGCATAGATGTGGTAGTGTGAGATAATGAGCGACAGAACGAAAGCGAAGAAACCAAGTGCTCGATTGCGTAACCAGTACGGCGGCAAGGCAAACCATATAGACAGACACGAAAAAGCCACTGAAGCTTGAACAAATGAATGCGCCAACAGTTATGACGGTTCCATCGGAGTGTATGATTCAAAGTAATATAACTTGATTTCCTGTTCTGCTATGTTTCAAAGGTTTTTGCATGTAGCCTGTCACGTTAACGTTTCTGAGAACAATTAACTTGTGGGAGCATAGCTTTTTGTGCCGATCATGGCATAATGCTGTCTACATTCTAGTGTGGAACATTAGTTGAGTGAAATCGGTTCCCCTCTGAACCTCCTCCCTGTTTTATGTTATTTAGTGCGTAACTTTATCGAAATACCTGCAACCACAGCAATTATTTTCAATTGCATTTCTGCATTCTAGAGCCACAAATTCCATGCGACCATCAATACCGAGATAAGGAAGGGAGAAGATAAAAACCTGTGCTACTCCAACAAGGTGAAGAATATTGCGCAGGC